CCCCCCCCCCCCCAATCCCCCTTCCCCCCACTCTGACAGTGTGGCCAAGGTCTCTGCTGCAGCCCTCATGGGTTTAACTTCACAAGTTTGCAACAAAGTCGTAGAGTGGTCTCCCGGCTGACCGCTTCTCACACCGTCACAGGGGGGTATTTCTGGTCACTGGTGACACTGGACCCACCGGTGGGAGGAGGACAGGGGGATTGGAGAGGCCTATATCCCCCCTGAGAAGGGTCCATGAAGGTTGGAGGAGCAGACACGGCGTGTGCGTAGCCGATGTACTGCGGGTGCAAAAACTGTCCCTGGTGAGGCATGATTTGTGTGGCCTGCTGGCAGTTGAGAACAGAAAAGTTAGTCGGCATGTTGACGAAGACGCTGGCGTCCGGCGGCAGGCAGCAGGAGGCCTGAGCGCGCATGTGGGGAGGCGGGGCGTTGCGTGGGGCCGCCGGCGGGGCGGAGGAGCTGGAGGAGGTGGCTGTGCTGGACTGCCGGGATGAGGAGCCCCTGGAGGTGTTCGCCATCATGGGGATGGTTTCCAAAAGACGGCCGCCGGTGGCCCCGCCCCCGGACGCACCTGCTGACGGCAGCTCCTGCTTGGGTCGGAGGCAGCGGCAGCAACACACAGCAACCACGGAGCCGACCAGGATGAAGGCAACAAACACAGAGCCCACGATCAGGAATGGCACGTAGATGGGAACTAGAGGAAGAACGACGACAGATAAAAGAGCTGCTTTAGTTGCAAAGTAGTGAGAATACTGCCTGCACGCCCCCCTGTTTTTGGCTCAGTGCACAGAAGCTCCCTACTTGTGAGAAGAGAGTGTGTAGGACAAAAGATTAACCATGAGGAGTGTTCATGCAAAAGTGGAAAAAACTAAAGGTATACAGGATTTGGTCCCGGGGAGTCCGAGGCTCTCATTAGCAGTTATTAACTTTGTTTTGATCTGTTTTAATCCTTTGCACCCTGCTGGTTCCTCAGCCTCCTTGACCCCGCAGACCTCTGAGTGTGTTAGAGTGGGTGACATTCTTAAGCCCGGCCGCCTGCAGACATGTGTGACCCTCCTTTTTCTTTGGCTGTTTGTTTGAGCCTTCGAAAATAGGTTCCTTCAGTTGAACTGTGGTACTTGGCATCTGCTTAAAGAAAAGTATTAAAGTGGACTGATTTAATGTAGCAGAATGGGAGGTTTTCGGCCCTGTAAATCACAGGAACGAGACAGTTCCTTCTCTTTGACCTCTTCTTTCTTATAGTTTAAAAAAGCAAACCAAACTCAACTTTTGTGCAACTTACAATCCCTGCGTTCGGTCGTAAGCTCGGTCAATTAGGGGCGTTATGGAACATGTTAACTTTTGACATTTTTATATGTAAGGCCTTCAGTTTAAGAGTGCAAATGTGTTGAATGAGCAGGAGGTACTCCAGCAACAACTTGGAAACATGACTAACAATAACTTTCCTTTCCAGCTTCTCTAACTGGGACTTCTCACAAATGGCAACAAAGCACCAAGTGAATTTGTCCGAGACGACTTTTAAGATGAAGTCACTTATTTCTCTCGACCGTTCATTTAAGTCCTTGTGCACGCAAAACACCTTCCAAACACAATGACGTCCAAGTTACATTATGAGTGAGCTGTTGAGTGTTATTGTTCCCACAGGCTGTAGTTATTTTCCACTTTGAATGTGCCCATGTTGTCATGGGGTGTAACTGTATGCCAGCAAGAGGAAGGTGGCAAATGGCTCCAGTTTCCTTTTGTCTCTGAGCTCTTTGAAATACATCCATATGACTTTTCAAAATGTTCACCCAAAGTCGCAGGGTATTAAGAGGATTACTGCACGAAACCTGTTAAAAGCTGGAGGTCTGTCTTTGGCAGACGGAGTAAAGACGTCATGACAAGGTGCCGGCGGCAGAGGAGGCTGGTGCGCGGGGAACTTGACACACACCAGGACCTTGACCCATTTCCTTTGGAAAAGGGGTTGGTGTCGACTTCAGAGCACCTCACAGTTACTCAGCACCCAGTTAACAGGTTTCAAAAGGGGACTTTGTATGACATCACATACAGGTTACATGAGCGATAGAAATGTCCCTGGGAGTCTTCAACTGCCTTATTTCCCTGTTCTTGTACAACTTTGATCTTAACATCTGAGCAAAAGGCTTGCGTCTTGTTTTATTTCATCCCTGCTTTAACTCCAGCGCTGCTTTCCAAAACAGTACTCTAAATCACTGATGGAGAAGAAAGGTTCAGCAAGCGCAGTTAAGAAAGAACGCCAGTTCTCCAATCCAGCTCATCCATATTAGACCGGACTGAACTATCCTACATTCCAATATTAAATCAGTACAAATGAGCACAAAGTGTGTCAGTGTCAAAGTTGCTCCAAATGTAGCTAATTACAGTTAATCCTGTGGTTACACTGTAAATCTAGCCAGAGAGAGAGAGAGAGATGGTAAATTAGCTAAAAAGCATCAGTGAAAATGCACCCATACAGAGACTCCTCACAAGGCTCAATCTTAACTGGTGCTTCACAGATTTGAACTTTTTAACCCACACTGTAAAATGGACAGGACAATATTGCTCCTTCAGTAAGAAACAGTAACTTAATTGAGCCCATCTGGTGGACTTGTATCTATAGTGGAGCTCAGCGTAAAGCAGCAGAAGTTTAAACACTGTCGTGTCAGTGCTTGATCAATGTCCTTTTTCCTTTCCTGAACATTTGGATGCCATAACCCCCTTTCTCTGTCAGGTCAGATTTGGCACATAACTGACCTAAAAAAAAACAAGACAAAAAAACACCAAACAAACTTTTTTGTTCTTGCTTTTTGTTAGCGCTGAAATCACTTTTTGTGCACATGGTGGTCTAAGCCCCCCTATTGTTCCCTGTCACTCGTCCACACCTGTTGCTGCAGCTGAGCCGCAGCAGCAACGCTGCAGTAACAGCACCCCCCACTCTTAAGCTCTTGTTTTGGGCAAAGTCTTTGTGGTTGGCTGGCTGGCTGGACTCCTCTGTCTCCTTGGGCTATCCCACGGGCATTCTCCTGTTCCTAAATACCACATGTTCCCTCATGTTGAGCACATTAATAATTTCCTGCCTCTTATTCTCTGACAAAGCGGTGTATCTTTCTTAAGAAATGATTAGGCTACAAGCATATGAAAAATGTGTAAAATGCACAAAGTCAACTGGCCTTTAGATTAAAGGGGGGAAATGTCCTCTATTCTTAGTGAGGAAAAAGCAGCTTTTCTTTAGGTTTTTTGGCTGGAGGCCACAAAGTGGAATGTATATACCTCTTCCTGCAGTGATAAGCCATGATAGTGGAAAATGACAGATTAGAGTGTAACTGCAGGACCAAAGAGAGCTTAATATCCTCCAGGAAAACATGAAATAAGACGCATGACTTTCCTTTTGTTTTCAATACTTGCTTGATTAAATTCTCATTTACCATTTTTCAAGATGTCACACCGATTCAAGAGTCTGTATGGTAGATTATTTTATGGGAATGTCAGCAAAGTTTAATTATTTGTATTGTTGTTTGTATTGTCACTTAAGGCACTAAATTAGCTACAGAATTGTTAGGTGTTAAGGTAAATTTGAGGTAAAACTCATGAAAGTGGGTGAATTTCTAGGAGAAAGGCGGTGGTGAAGTACAGGAGCCTGATAGGAAATGACGCATAACGTGATTTGAGTGTTTTATGAACAGGGCTGTCAGCGCCCTCAGCCTGTCCAAGATCCGGTCAAGTCCAAATTTGATCCCCGTGGGGACAGCGTGATCTGAGCCCTGGAACCCTCTTGCACTGTTGCAGAACAAACACCGCTATTTATAAAGTGCAGCAGCATGGCTCAGTTTGCCATTTGTGAGTGTGGTTAACTGGTTTTTGTTGGAGTCTGCTGTCTCCTGTGCAGCTGTCGTTGCCAAGCGGGACAGACAGCAGATGAACCCTCCGACAGGGGAGGGGGGATACTGAGAGTCTGCTGGGCTTATGAGGGGAAACCCGAGCTTCTCACAGGTCATGTTTCAAATTTACAACATAAAATTCAAGTCTTCCTGTGCATGTGCACCTATGTAACCTGGACTTAGACTTTCATTCAACAAAAGATTTGAAAAAAGAATCAGTTCTGATTGAACACATTTTAGCGGGCACACATTCACCAAAGCAACAGGCCAGCAAATCTCAGCTTTTCCTCATAAACTTGAGACTTCTTTGTGACAATCCCATTACTCATGCAGATCAGAAATGACAAAAAATACCTCTGATGTCTACTTGTATGATTAATTGACCTTTTCTTCTGTTAACTCTGCTTGGCCTTTGCCCTGCCTGCATTTAATTAGATTTTTACTACAATAAATGCAAGCAATGTAAATGCTTATCCTAGTTTCCAATATGTATGGCACAATACCTGCACGGGAGTCCTTGTTCTCTTTGGTCTCTTTCCCGGGATCTTGTGCCTGCTGGTCGTTATTGCAGCTCCCCTGGTCCAGCCGCGCGTCGGTGCTGGAGCAGCAGTAGCGTAGCTCGCATTTCCCGCAGCAGATGATCGCGTCCTCCGCGTCAATCTTCTCCGGGCACTGAAACCCTTCTTTCCAGGCGCCCTGGGAGTCGTGCCAGCCGTGGCAATATTCCCCACTGGCCTTCACATCAATAATGACCAGGAGCAGAGTCATAATCACGCTGACAGACATTGGGAAGCCTCCTGCCCGCATTCTCAGCCAGGTGGCCCGCGGCGGCACGCTGGCGCACAGGAGGACACAGAGAGGCTTTCACACCCCGTGTGGAACCTGATGAGGAGGGTGATGGAACTTTGGGTCGATTCGGTAAAGGGAACTGAGGGGACACAATGACGGAGCCGCAGACCTCTTGGAGGCTGTCATTTGTTAGAGAAAATCCCGTGCGTAACTTAGATCCAAAGTGGCTCCGCAACGCAGGATATGATCCTGGTTTCCCTCAAAGTATGAAGTTGATTCGTCTGAAAGTTGAACTGTCATAGAAAGTTTGGCCTGCCAAGGCTTAACTGATATTCCAGTTAGAAATATTCGGAGCTCTGGTAATTCCAAAATGGAAAGACTAATGGGTTCCCTTTGGCTCTGCAGCGCGGCTGTTCATGTCTCCTCCTAGCTCTTCAAATGACTTTCCACAGTGATGCAGGGAAGCCAGCACATGTAGCCTGATCCATGGACACACAGCTGCTGTCACTTCTGTCTCCTCTCCCCGCCGGTACCGTGCGTAAAGTTTCAAACTTCTGTGTCTTGACCTGCATTGTTGTGCATCGGAAGTATGTGGGCGAAGTGCGCGTCTCTGTGCCCCAGTGGAGCTGCAGCTTACAGAGTGTGTCCAAGTGCGTTTCGGAGGGAGAGGGGCGTGTAAAAAAAAAAGTCAGATGCAAACGCACAGCTCACTGCAACACAGCGCTGGGCTGAGGAATGAATCAGGACACATCATACGACTTCCGGTTTGGGCCCCTCATTAAATCAGAGATAAAATGTAAGGGGCCCTTTATTTGAACAATGAATTAAATATTTTTTGTTATATGTCTGTGAACATATAAGTATTTTCAGTTAGAGCCTAAAAGTACTGTACAACCTGAGGAAGAAGACCTCTCCACTATTGTCAGCTGTGGAATATCATATAAAAAACTACTATTCACGAATGACTTGTCAGAATGGCTCCTTTAAAATATAGATTGATGTGTTTGCTAAAGGTTATGTTGTGGATCATACTTAGCTTTTCAAAAAATGTTATATAGATATATATAAACCTTGTTCAACAAATACAACTAGAGAACAAAAGTCAAGCTTTCATAGAGATATAGAAATAAATGTTTAGAATATTAAATGTTACAGGTAAATAGCGGCTGAGGCTGTAGGTAGTTTGGAAGGGGAAGGGGTATCTCCACTCTCCGGCCCTCTAATGTAAAGAAGAAGTTACACTGCCATCTAGCGGTCTTATCTGATGCTAAGAAATGATTTTGTAACTTAATGTTTTCCAGCAAACTCATACAGTAAAGCACGTATCTGACTTCGAATAACATAACTGGCTTTTCCGGTCACAGGCAATCAGAGATGAGATTGAAACCAGTTCGGGGGTGATATGACTTCAAGTAAAATCCCAAGCTCCCATTGTTGCAAATATTCAAAGAAGGACTTCATTCCCCATCATGCCTCGCTGTGAAGCGGTACCTATAGCAACAGCACAGGAAGTGGCGCGCAACAGTTGAAAAACTGTCACGAAAGGATCTGAACTGCATTTGTTCAGACCAATTGACCTTTTTAGAGTCTGACTGCCCGCAGCTGGCATCTCTTTACGCTGTTTCTGACACCGGCCGTGGCCCCTGCTAGTGAAATGTAAGTTGTTGTTGGTGTTTATCAGGTGTAAACATTCGCGTAGCTAATGTTGAGCTAAACTGCGCATCCTGATGCTCATAACTAGAAATGTGACTGAGTTAGCTCAGCTGGCTTCCCAGTTAGATGTTGCTAGAGACTGCCTTACACATGTATGCGATTCTTCAAACCTAATTTTGACGCACAGATGTCCTTTGTGAAACTGGGACGACAACAACAACAACACACTAAAGGGAAAAGGCCTGTTCGCCCAAAGAAGGCAGCAGGTCCTAAAAGGGAATGGGTGGTGAGTATTAAGCTGGTTTATCACCCATTAATGCCCTCTGGCTTCAAGCAGTGATAGGATATGTCAGCTTTTCACTGCACAAGCCACACACTTACTTGTAATAAAGTAACCAAAGCTCAATATGTGCCTCTGGTTTGTCTGTTTTTGTTGGTAAAATCTGACCACTGGTCATTTGCTTTCAGAGCACGGTCAGTGACCTGTCTGTGCACAAGCTGACGCCCGCTGAGCTGGTAAGCTGCTTGCTTGTGCAAATGCCACTCAAGAATTTAAATTAGGCTCCAATTTGAAAACGGATACCCTTGCCAGCCCGTGTGTCTGCTTCTCTGATTCAGAGTCATCGGCATGAGATTCACAAGTCTCACAACAAAGTTGCAGCTCAGTGGGAGCTCAAGGAGAAAGCCCTAAAACGGCGTCTCAGACACACTGGGAGCCCCGCGCCTCTGGACAAGGCCAGCCTCAGCATCATCAGGGAGGTGAGGAGATTTGTCTGTGTTTTTTTTATGCCCAGCGAGGTGCAGATCTCTTGCATTCCGTTGTGTTGTTGCAGGTTTTCTCCGATAAGCTGCTTCTGCAGGATGTGCTGGCCCGCTCTGACAGAGCCATGGCGGTGGTCAAGGACCTGTTTGGAGATGCCCCACGGAGACAGACTGGTAGTAAAGTGAATTTCTTTGTTTGATGTCTGATTCATAAATATTTTTAGAAGGATTAGGCGTGTATCTGTTTTTGATTGGCAGTGCTTTAAATTAGTTTCTGTGGTTGCATAATTAATTATCCATGCTTCTGTGTTTTTCTTTTACTCCACAGGGCACCCCAGCGTGACCATGGCTCCACACTGCGACTCTGATTCGGAGCTGCCTGTTCTCCAGAAACCAGATCCACCAACTCACTTGTCTCTCCTCAGCCAGTCTATGATGGATCAGGAGGTGTGTGATGGGGAGCTTTTATTGATAGTAATGGTTGTGTGTCACCATAAATCTTGTTTTTGTTACATTCTGTTGCTGATTTTGGGACACATTAAAAGACTTCATCTGCAAAATGGTTTGTTTCAGGCTCTTAATGAAGTTGAGCTTTCAAAGTTAGACCACCGAGAGGAGGACGATGAGCCGTCGTGCAGTCCACAGAATCATGTAATGCGAAGGTATGAATCCGGAAAACGCAGCACGCTGAAAGAGTTGCTGTTGTCACAAGTTTACAGATTTTTCTTTTTTACAGGACCAATATACGGAAAATGAAGGCAAACACCCGAAGCAGAGCACAGGAGCTAAAAGGTGATAATCTCAGTTGTGACCAAGGAGAGAAAGAGGATGTTCCTGTGACGCCCCGCTCAACAGGAACAAGACCAGACCACAGAGGCAAGTTGCCTTTTAAATGAACCCTATACAGCGATTACAACTGTTTTAATAAACCACGAGCAGTGTACCAAATGTTAAATGTTTGTGTGCAGACTTTTCTAATCTCATTCCAGCTCTCAACGCCACTGTAGCTGTTCAGCGCATTCGCTCAAAACAGAGTCAGTCAGAGGAAGGTAAAGAAGGAGAAACCTCCACCTTGGTGTCTCAGGTCCTGAATCCTGAATTTCCTCTCAGTCGGTCAGGTAATATCTGCAAGGCAGTCATTTCTCCCAGCACTATCAAATACTCGGACCATCACTCACTGTGTCAGACATTCTGATTGAATGTTTCTAAGGAAGGATCAGCAGTCACGCCAGCAGGAGCAGGAAGGATGTTTCTCGGAACTCAGTGCTGGATGGGTCATCTGCTGCTTCTCTCAGTGGGGACCAGTCCAGTCTGGGCCTGCTGCGGGCCATGCTGGGTCAGGTGGAGGAAGACTTGGACAGTCTGGGCCCCGAGAACGTACCGGGCTCTGCACAGAGACCAAAAGAGCCCCGAGCACAAGGCCTCACTGGATTCTCTGTCGCCTTGGTCTCCACACTTGGACGTTTGGTACGCCTCCTCAAACAGGTACTGTGGGGCATCAAAAATTAAACAGTTTGTAAAACCATTACACAAGAGTGATGAAGGAAATCTGCTGGTGTTTTTTTACTTTAAAAGATCTTTCTCCATACCTAGTTTTAGCTTCATACCAATCTCCAGATTATGTTTTTCTCGTGGTTTTATTTTTCTCTAAAAAAGTGTGGATCCAACAGATTAAAATCCCACCCAGAGATCTTTCAAGAGACACCTGTGGTGCCAACCAAAGAAAAAGTAAAACTGAGTTTTAGCAACACTTTTTTGTCAGCAGAAACTTTTCAGTGTTTTCTGAATTCTCCTGAGTTCATTTCTGTTGTGAATTGTTTCGTTTGGTTAGCTGTATGATCCCTTCCTTCTGTTTGAGTTCACTCATCTTCCGTCTCCTAGAGGGAAGCGGAGGCTCAGAAAGAGGCAGAGGAGAGAAGAAGGCTGCAGGAGGAGTTGACAGAGCAGCGGGGCGTTATCGATGCCCTCACTGCTGAAACTATGACTCTTCGAGAGGAGTTTTCGTCGCTGCAGGTAGATCTTTATTTAGATTCCAGTGCACTGATCATTCCACTGTTCTCCCATCATAAGTCTTTTTTTCTTTTTTGTTGCTGGTGCTTCCCAGCACGGGTTCCAGCGCCACACAGCAGAGTTGGAGCAGAAGCTGGACACGGTGGTGTTGGTGATGGGGGGACTGGGACTGCTGGGAGAACACATGAACCCACCGATACCTACTGACGCCAGAGCCCCAGGTTTGTAACGCAAAATCATCCACACCTGCATGTTGTCTGAGGTTTTATTGTAAAGTGTGAGTAAACCTTTGATCTGCAGTTAATTCCACAGCTCCCGTTGCTGAAAGGGCCCCTGAACAGACCCCCGTTTGTGTTTCTCCTGCCGTCCTGCTCTCCCCGCCTCGCCAGAGAGACAACCGCCAGCAAAGTCCCGGTGACCTCCTCCTTATTTTCTGCTCTTAAATCACCACTCATTTTGCTCCTCTTGTTGTGAGAATGTAAGTGGGCTAAATGTGTGTTTTCCCCCCTTCCACAGAGACTCATCAGCTGCTCCTGCAGCCTCAGCTTCATCCCGCAGATAGCCGCCCCCCCCATGAGGATCCGGAGGCTCACGGCTCGGCCTCGAGTCTCAACAGTCTTCCCCTCAGCAGACTCCCCTCCAGCTCCTCCCTCTCTCTGATCTCTGACCCTCTTCGCTCGCAGCCCTCCCCAGATGCCATGCTGGCCGAGATCGCTCTGCTGAGCCGGCAGAACGACCTGATCAAGGCCCAGCTCAGCCAGGCCCGGCGCCTCAAGTCAGGGGCCGGAGGAACGCCAAGCAGCAGCCTCACGCAGAGACGCTCCAGCCCGCCCAGCACGTGCACAGTCACGCCTCCAGGCAGCACGCAGAGCAGGCCGCCCGGGCCCAGAAGCACGGGCGAGAGGAACCGGAACGCCCCGACCCCCGACGATACGTCGCTGAATCAGGAGGTGACCTCCTCGTCAGATGCAAGGAAAACCTCAGAAAATGTTTCCCTCAGGCTGTTAATAAAGGATTTTGTTTTCTCATTCAGGCGTCTTCTATCAGCGTAAACAGCATGGAGCAGCGCCTCCTGGAGCTCAACAGGCAGAGCGCAGCCGCTCGGGGTCGACTCCTCCAGCTCATCGAGCAGCAAAAGCAAAGCGTGGCAGGCAGGGTCTCTCCCTCCGTCTCCCCCATCCCTCGCTCCGCCCTCAGCCCAAACGCAGCAGGTGTGGCAGGTGAAAGCAGCACGTCCCTGTGTTTCTGATCCCACGTGAATTAAAAACCAGAGAATCCCTGTACTTTCAGCAGGAGGAGGAAGTCCAGACGTGTCGTTGCTACTGGCTGAGCAGGAGCTCCGAGCACAGGAGGGCACAGACAGACGGTGGGCGGCTCACCTGCATGAAACGCTGCTTTTATTTCTACAGTAGCCACAGACGGGTCAAACACCGGGTCAGACGCTCAGTGCTCAGATGCGTTTTGTCTTCCAGATGTGCTGGTTCTCACACGTCGTCTCCCAGTTTTAGTTTTGAAACCAGGGATGGAAATTCACAGGTAAACGCACATAAAACACAGATCCACCTTTCTTTAGTTGAACTAGTTTTTATCACTTGGGTTTAAGCGTCTCTCTCTCTTGATTCCACACAGATGAACAAGCAGAGTGAAAGAGAAGGGTGGTTTGCTTTGTCTGCTCACATGAGATGACAAGAGGAGACAGACAAAATCAAACCTTTGAACGCAGAAATAAATCTATTTTTACTCTTTTTATTTTATTTTTTCAGCGACTGAAATAAAAATGCTTTTAATTTTAGAATTTCAGTGAACAGTTGGCTCTGTTTCTCTCTGTTTTGGGCTTTTCCACAGATCTGACATTTAGTGTTTACTGTTGTGTGAAAAACCTATGCATAAAAATAAATTTTCAGCTAAATCCTACAAAACTTTGTGAATGACAGTGGCCTTCCCAACCATGTGAGATACTTAAAATATGATGCTTAGAATGCGGCCAAGAACCTTTTAGCATCGATACGTTGAGTCTCATGATTTCTTTTCTCCTAACACTCCTTCTGTGTTCTGGCTTAGCAAAACATGTCATTTTCATCAAAGGTTGTGTTGATCACTCAAGGTTTTATCGTGCAACCAATCATATTCCGCTTGTAAACCCCCGTCATGATCAAGGCTATTGTAGGGAAACGGCCTCTGTCATCGAGTCCATTAAAGCAGGATGACTAAACCATTCTCCTCTGAGGAATTAGAGGGATATAATCACATTATTCTGTTATGATCTATAACAGTTTGTTTCCACACTTTGTTCCCATACTTAAATGTCTTTTCTTTATGAATCCCTTTTAGATTAACAACTTTGACAAGCATTAAGATCCTGACAAAGGAATTTAGAGACCAACTAAAAGACTCGGCTAAATGTCCACAAATGAAAACAACTGTGGGAAACCCAGCACATCAGCACAACAGTCCGTTTTTCATATAATTTGGTTACAGATTTATTGTTTGTCTTTTTTCCTTTGAAAAACAGTTGACAGTGTCATCTGTCTGTAGCTGTATCTTATACCACAGAGTTTCATTAAGTAAGAACAAAGAAGTCCGTGCAGCACTTCTTATAGAACTTAATAAAATCCACATATCTCTGTGGGTGATGTTAAACTGATAAGAAGATATAAACTCAATGACAAATTGGTTCTAAAATGTTAACGGTTTTCATGTCAAAGTTCTCCAGAACCAACACACCTAACTTATCTTTAAGTGGAACAGTCCGATATTTGTCTTCATAGTTATGATCAGATATTTCTTCCATTATCTTTTAAAGTTTCAACAGTTTTATCAGTTTGAGCTAAATCAACTGAGTGAAACCAATTTAGTGTTTCACAACTGTTACATTTTCCCACACAGCGCTCTGGCTTCATGAAGCTGACAATGAGATTGCATGTGTAAGTTATCGCTGTTCAAAATCACCTTTAAAATAATTAGAACAGATGCGTGAACTCACCAGAATGGGTTACAGAGTAAATGCCTCATGTTGTTTGGGGGCTGTTTTCCTTTGGATTTCACTATCAAGTTATTCTTGAAAAAAATAGAAATGTATATTATTTTAATAACTTCAACCAAGAAAAGAGACTGAAGAGCTCAGCAAGATTGTTGGTTCTTAATTAAATGACATAGGGTTGGGGTTAGAGGCCCATAAATGGGGCAGTCAGCAGCTTGTCACTGAAAACAAAGGATAAGAGAAGAAACTGTCTGTCATGCAAAAAGAAAATGGGGAAAGTTAAAGCTCTCCAGTAGAGGGCAGAAAAAGAGAGAAATAAGAAGCAAAAGGATGTCTCCTTTCATCTCTGAATGAAGCTCGGAGCAAAAACTAAAGATGAGAAGCATATCTCTCAGGTCCAGCTGAAAGAGATGGAGTCGGGTAGACAACCTCAAACCAGGTCTGAATAAAATAAAACTATTTTTCATCCCAACTTATCTCTTTTGGGCGTTTCCTCTCTTCTCTGTTTTCTTCAGCTCACTCCCAATTCCACCATTGCCATGCCCTATCCACACTTTCCTACTCTTTTAACCATTTTCTGAGCTGTAGCTCCGTCCAATTATCTTGTAGCCAAATTTAAACACTCAATCAAATCAAATCAGTTCATATGACAACACATCACGCCTACAGCTACAGCTAAACATGGTGGTGGAAGGGTGATGATTGGGGTTGTTTTCAAACCTTAAAGACAGCGTTCCCTTTTGGTAAAAAACCTGTAAAATTAGAAGATTAAAACATGAAAGTGCAATCTTTTTGCAAATTGCTTGTTCTAATGAATGAGCTCAGCTGAGCTGACCTCTCAGTTCTATCACCTATAGCTATGAAATGCTTTCGGTGCTTGATAGGAGATTGTGTGTTTTTTTAGTGTGGTGTGTCAAGAAAAAAGATGATTTAAGAAAAGCAGCTTTGGGAATTAAGGTAAAACCTGAAGCAAAATGTATTCACAGGCATCACAGTGGTAATTATTTTATTTTTAAATGCAGACACATAAGCCCCGGATAGCGTGGGACATCCATAATAAAACACACACTTCTCACGCTTGTTGAAGTAGCTGGGACCTGCATTTGTCTGCAAGCAAAGCTGAGAAATAGAAGTATTTTCTGTTGTGCACAAATTGTTACTTTGTGTTGCGCTGCACTCATTTGTCATGAGGAGGATTTCTCTGGGTTTATCCAGTCAGTTGCTGCCACACTTAAATCAAAAAGTCAAAAGTAAACAGCCGCACACTGGCTTGTTTTCACACCGTGTTTGCTCTTGGTTTCAGAGAGCACTTGAGTTTTCTAGAGTTTCACTAAAGCTGTGTGGGTGACTGCAATGAGCAACAGGGAATCAAAAGGAGTAAATATGGGAGATAATACCAGAATGGGGGCATAAAGGCGCCCAGGACAGTTTCCGTAAACGTGGGGTGCAGAGGTCACAGTGGTGCTGCAGGGGGAGGCGGGCAGAGCTTATTGTGCTTGGCGTGGCAAAGTGAAGGACAGGGTGAAAGGAGATTAACCTCAGCCCAGTACCCTTCAATACCCCCTTTCCCACCACAGGCATGGGGAAAGTTCCAATAAGTGACCACCACCTCTCTGTGTGTCTCACTGGAGTTTCAATTTCACTGCTTCACTCCTCTCACTTATTTTTTAGACAGGGAGTCATGAAGCAGGGCCAGTGCTCATCCGATATCAGTTAAAGGTGTTCAGTTGTTCTGTGGAACACAGTGAAGGGGGGCATCAGAGATATGGGGATAGGGGGGGGTTCTTTACACATTTAAATGTGGCCCCACTTCACCTCAGTGAAGGAGGCTGTAGTCACTTGGAAAAACACACAAAAGTAGTCTGTGCACACACTCATTGTCTGGTATTGTAACCAAATATATCAAGCTTTTGTTTGACAGGTGTTTGGACTCTGAAGAGACCTAAAGAACTAAATGATGTCAACAAAAAGAGAGAAGCAGCTTGAAAATCATTTCTTTTACCATTACTTTTTTTTTTTTTGTATTTGAACGCTTAAGATTTCCCCAAGACATTTCAGAATTTTATTTTCCTTATTGTTTCCTCAGTTAAGGTTATGAAACAGAATGAGGGCTGAATCTATTGAGTTTCTAACAATGCAATAGCCTGTGGTATCTTTACAACTTTCCACGTTTAAAATCTTATACTTAAATTGGCAGTGTATGGCTCCGTCCACCAGGGGGCAGTGTTAATATGCTGCAGCAGCTCCGGGGTGTCTGAAAGTCTAATGTGAAATATCTTTGCCCTTCTTTGTAATTTTTTCATTTTTTTTTTAAATGAGCAAAAGTAGCATAACCCCTTGACGCACTTGCAATGATAACTCTGTTAAGCTAAATGTTTGGAAAATCAAGACAAGAAGTAAAATGGTCTCTGTGAATTAGACCTTTGTTGGTCCCTATTCTCGAAAATTTCTTAAATCAACTCTGCTGCTTTGTGCCAAAAATTCTTTAATACTTTTTTTTTAGCACGTGTACAGTGTGACACGTGTACTTTAGTATGGCTGCGTGTGATTGGATGCGGGAGTGTGTTGGAGTGTTCCGGACAGCTGTGCGAGGTTCTGATCTGAAGCAGGCTGCTGGCTGATGTGAAAATATTATTGCAAGTGTTTATTATTGCTCCAGTGTGAAACAGTGGGAGTGTTGTGTGTGCTGCACGGGTTGGTGGAGTAATGGAGTGCTTGCGTGTGTGAAGGGATAGCTGAGGGTGGGCGGATGGGGGTTCTCTCTCCTCTCCCACTCCCTGTTTCCCACCGGCCAGCCCCCCGCCCATGGCCCATTGCACCCTGGGTAATGGGGAGGCCTATTGGAGTTGATTAGTTCCGGCTGGATCCCAGATAGAGTTCTGACAGGCAGGAGAAACGAGCTCTCAGCGTGACCCTCCACTTCCCCCACACGGCCCTGTCTCATGCACAATGAGCAATACAGGAGAAGGGCTTTTTAAACAACTGAAGCCTCGCTCTACTCCACTGCCCCCCTCACCCCACCGGCCCAAAACGCCGCTACTAGAACTGCGATAACCACATGAGACTGCCGCACAAACACAGCCTTTACTGCCTCAAACTGACTCTGAAAATGGCTGTGATTTTCTTCCCATCACATTCCCTTTTCTCCTATCGGCGCAGTCTGTCAGCATCACACAAACGCTTTGGGGCTATCGGTGAAAATAAATGTTACACATGCGGCGCACATCAGAATCGGCCTCTCCGCTTTGTGTTCTCCCTGACAAGCCATCACATCCACAATGCCGGACACCTGTGGCATGAACTGACACGCACTGGACACATTCCTCAGCAGAGCCGCATCACTCCTCTCAGCGGCTTTATCCTCTCCATCCTCTTTATCCCCCCTCCCCAAAATCCTCTCTGTCTTCCTCTCTTCTCCTTTTCCCCTTCTTTCTCCACACATAATTGATTAAGGGCCTTTTTCATAAATCAATTTGGGACGCACATCAGTCAGCCCTGAATGGAGGAACCTCCCCTCTGCGCAGCAGTATTAATCTACCCCAGCATGCCCTGCCACTCTCACTTACACACATTCACACACATCTGTATGCTTTTGCTCCTTTGGTTTAAGCTTGGACAGTTGCACATCGCCAAACATGAAATATACTATATTCATGAACACTGCAACCCGCATCTAGCAGTCTGATGAGCAGGGCCACGGTTTCCTGAGTCTGAACAACACACCCTGTGATGCAAAAACTAGAGGAGAATGTCAAAGTCTGAAATGTTTAATTGACTCCACAGTATGACGAAATCATAGGCCAGCAAACTAAGAATAGGACATTTTCTACTTATGGGATTCGAGACAAATTCTTTCCATATGTCTTTCTGTACATCCCGAATATGTTGTTTGTTCACTCTGCAGTGTATCTCTAAGACAACT